GCATCTTTCCTTCTTGTTTGTCTGTCTGGCCACTTTCAGGTCCCAGCACCAAAAGCCAAGACAACAGCCTGACCTAGACTATTAAACCAGCTCCCACAATTGCATACCATCAAATCCTTATAACAAGTCATTTCTCTCTATGGTCCTGGTTTTCTAATTGATGATGGAACATGTGTCCACAATGGAGGGTTTAGTTTGGCTTGTCTTTGAACTTTATGTTGGAGTCTGACTGTCTCTTTAATTGTCCTGCCTGCCAGCTCAGAATAAGGTAATCCCATCTCAGCCTGCACATCTGTGCCCCTAACCTCAGCTGGCCTTTACTTCTACCAGGCGATTGAGACCCTAGGAACCCTGGTACTAGGCACAGAGGAGCCTTGGCCCCGAAGAAGTAGGCTGGGCCCACCTATGTAAATGGAATGATCTGAGAAGTTTATATAGCATGTATTTTCCCATCTATTTGTCAGGTGCCTGAAATGTCACTGTTAAAAAAGCAAAATATCCCTCAAATGAACTGAACTAGGGATTTTTTATTCCAGCTTCACTACTATTCGGCCATGAGATTTTGGTAAAGTTGCTTTGCCCAGGCCTCAGTTTCCTCATTATATATTGAAAGGGGTGGCCCGGGAGAATCTCTAAGTCTCTCTGGCTCTGCTATTGCCTCTGGTGTGGTTCTCCACATGGGTCTACATACTGTGAGTTTAACGGGACATGCAAACTGGGATAGTTCTTTACATCACCCAAGAGAGACTGGAGGCTGTTCCGATTTCATGAACAAAGGGAGCCCACCCTACAGAGGCCGGGGAGGGATTTTGGTGGAGGAAGACATTACAAACTCAAGGACAGAGAAAAAAGACAGGTGATGTTAGTGTAAGGAGAGGAACACGTCTCTGGAAGCAAGAGGGGCTTGCTCAGGCTGAGCAAACAGATCTAGGTAGAAAGGCGCTGGGGCTCTGACACAGAAGGATTCAGACCTGGAAACATTGGAAGGAAGAAAGAAATTAATGACCAAAGGCAGGACCTGGATTTGCCCTGTCCTAGTGCTGGCTTGGTTGGTAGATTATTTATGTCAAGACTCTGTGTGTGTGTGTGTGTGTGTGTGTGTGTGTGTGTGTGTGTGAGAGAGAGAGAGAGAGAGAGAGAGAGAGAGAGAGAGAGAGAGAGGGAGAGAGATTAACAGCGCTCACGTAAGTGCAACTCTGTCTCTGCCTCATTGTTCCTGGGCTTATTTTATCCTCTTGTTTTCCTTGGAGAGCCATGTTTCCTACAGCCCTTGTTGGAGGAGGAAAGGGCAGCATTCCTGAGGCAGCATGAAACTCGGTTTGGCTTCCTCCCACTGACAGTCATCTTAGGGAGCTGACTGGTGGGTCTGCCTTGCTCAGTCAGAACACCACTGGTCCCTCGGGCAACGTTGGTGTTTGGTAAATACACGTTCAGCTGTCTTTCCCGCCCACTGAATCAAAAGCTGTTCTGAAGGCTCAGCCAGAGCAGCAGTCATACTTGACCTGAGCTTAGCACAGTGCCTGGCATAGAATGAGCTCAGAACAAGGGGTTATTGTTGCTGAATTAATCTGGTTTGCTGAATGCAAAAGGAAAATTGCTTTGATAAGTTAGGAGTGGTAGTTACCTATCCCCTGAGCACATCCAGCTCAGAGGTTTTCTCTACCTGTCCAAAAGGGCCTCTTTTTTTTTTTTTTTAAAGATTTTTATTGGGGAATTGCAGGGATGGGAACAGTGCTGAGGGATTGGGGAAGGGGAACAGACAAGTTGCTGTCATTTTGTTCTTCAATCTACTTGTGGAGGACGTTGCTTCACTTGCCCAAGTTGGCACCATCATTGCGCTCTTCCCTGGAGAGGCAGATCAGTCGCTGGCTTCTGGACGGCCGCTCACTGCGACTGCTGGCCGCTCACGCTGGCTGCTGGCTACATACAGTAGCCCATGGCAACCCACTGCCACAGGGACTGCAGCCTACACCATCACTGGCGACCCACAGCAGCCCAGCTCCAGGTTGAGCTGTTGTTCAGCATCTTAGCTGTGGAGGGCAGTATTCACTGGCCCTCATATGTGGGATCCGAACCGGGGCCCTCTGGCATCCCAAGCGAGTTCTTAACCATCACGCCACTCGGCCGGCCCAAAAGGGCCTCTTTTTAAGAGCCATAGCTGCTATCTCCCTGACTTAGTTGTCAGATAGTTGTTACCATGAAAGGGTATGGTGACTGTGAAGTTCGGGTCCCCTTGCTTTCTTACTTCCTCAGCAGGCTGCTCAGAGCCAGAGGCCCTCCTGTCAAAGGCCCTTCAGAGACAAGGCCTATGACCAGGAGCTCTGCCAGGGTAAGGTTCTGTCTGGTTTGACTGATGCTATATCCCTAGGACAGTCAATAAATACTGTTGAAGGAATGAGTAAGTTCTTTGTTCGTCTGGGTGACATATTAGGAATCATTTCCCCAATCTGGGGTTTCCGTTTGTCAAACCCTGAATGACGTGTGTGTGTGTGTGTGTGTGTGTGTGTGTGTGTGTGTGTGTGTGTGTGTTGGGTGGGACCCAGGAGAGAGTAAAGGGAAACTCAAAGTGAGAGTTCCTGGTTGAGCTCAGGAGAGCTCTCTGACTTCCTGCTACCCAATCCAACTGATTGGGTGGACTTATTTGACCCTTCTAAGTCCCATCCTTGATGCTCTTGGCCACTGTTTCACGTGGGGACAGGAGAAGCACCAGGTGATCCTGGGACACATTTCCTTCCATAATATATGTTTAGCAGCAGGAGACTTGGGCTGGGAGGAAGGAGGTAGAAAGGCTAGCTTTCATCTCTATTTCAGCCCTTCTTTCTTTCTTTTTTTTTTTCTTAAAGATTTTATTGGGGAATTGGGATCGGGAATAGCATTGGGGAATTGGGGAAGAGAAACAGACAAGTTGCTGTCCTTTTCTTCTTCAGTCTAGTTGTGGAGGACGTTGCTTCACTGGCCCATGTTGGAATTGTGATCATTGCGCTCTTCCTGGGTGAGGCAGTCGCTCGCCAGCCATTGGACAGCCGCTCACGGCAGCTAATGAAAGCGCACGTCAGCTGTGGGCCAACCCCACTGCAGCCTATGCCGTCGCCGGCGACTCACGGCAGCCCAGCTTCAGGTCGAGCTGTTGTTCACCATCTTAGCTGTAGAGGGCAGTGTCACTGGCCCTCATGTGGGATCCGAACTGTGGGTCTGCTGCTCAAAGCTGGTGTCCCAAGCCAACTCTTAACCAACGTGCCACTCAGCTACCTCCCAGCCCTTCTTCCTATGTACCTAATACACAGCAAAAGGATTTGTTTATCATTAAGACCCAGATCAGAAACCTGTGCTCATCCTTGCCTGACCTCTCTGTAGCAGTTTAGATGTTGTTTTTTGTTGCAAGCAATGAAATACTCAACTAAAAGTGATTTATATAAAAAAAATATATTTAATTATCTCCCTTAACAAGAAGTTATAGGTAGGTGGTTCCAGGGTTGGTTCAGTTGTTAAAGTTTGCCTGTAGGGTTTATTTTTTACTGTGGTAAAATATACATAACATAAAATTTGTCATTTTAACATTTTAAAGTGTACAGTTTAATGGCATTAAGTATACTCACATTGTTGTATAAATATCCCCACATCCACCTCCAGAACCTGTTATCATCCCAAACTGAATTCTATACCCTTTAAACAATAACCCCCAATTTCCCCCCCATCCCCTAGTAACCACTATTTTACTTTCTTTCTCCATCAATTTGACTATTCTAGGTACCTCATATAAGTGGAATCATACAGTACTTGTATGTGGCTTATTTCACTTAGCATAATATTTTCAAGATTTCTCCATGTTGTAGCATATATCAGAATTTCATTCCTTTTTAAGACTGAATAACATTCCATTGTATGTATATACCACATTCTGTTTATCCATTCATCTATTGATGGACATTTGGATTGTTTCTTCTTCTTGGCTATTGTGAATAATGCTGCTATGAACATTAGTATACAAATACATCAGTTTGAGTCTCTGCATTTAGATCTTTTGGCTCTAACCCAAAAGTGGAATTGCTGGATCACATAGTAATCCTATGTTCAATTTTTTGAGGAACCTCCATACTGCTTTCCACAGTGGCTGCAACATCTTACATTCTCACTAGCATTTCATAAGGATTCTAGTGTCTCCATATTCTCGCCAATACTTGTTATTTTGTTTGTTTTCATAACACTGATCCAAATGGGTGTGAAGTGGTACCTCATGTAGTTTTGATATGCATTTCCAAAATTATTAGTGATGGGCTCTTTGTATGTTCTTTGGAGAAAAGTCTATTCTCCAAATCCTTTGCCCATTTTTTTAAAGAAGATTTTATTGGGGAATTGGGGAAGGAAACAGAGTTGGGAAATCAGAGAAGGGGAACAGACAAGTTGCTGTCCTTTTGTTCTTCAGTCTAGTTGTGGAGGACGTCGCTTCACTGGCCCATGTTGCACTCTTTGATCATTGCACTCTTCCCGGGTGAGGCAGATCGGTCCCCAGCCATTGGATGGCCACTCACGGCTGCTCACGGGCAGCTCACGCTGGCTGCCGGCTGCTCATGGTAGCTCACGGCAGCCCACTGCAGCCCCACTGCAGCCTATGCCGTTGCTTGTGACTCACGGCAGCCCAGCTCCAGGTCAAGCAGTTGTTCACCATCTTAGCTGTAGAGGGTGCAGCGTCACTGGCCCATGTAAGATCTGAACTGGTGGCCCTGCTGCTCATAGCTCACACTCCAAAGCCAACTCTTAATTAACGAGCCACTTGGCCGGCCCTCCTTTGTCCATTTTTGAATACAACTTTTATTTTGTTTTTGAGTTGTAGGTATTCTTTATATATTCTGGAATTAACCTCTTATAAGATAAATAATTTGCAAATTTTTTCTCCCATTCTGTGGTTTGCCTTCTTACTCTGTTAATAGTGTCCTTTGATGCTTAAAAGTTTTAACTTTGATGAAGTCCAGCTTATCTATATTTTCTTTTGTTGCCTGTGTTTTTGGTGTCATATCCAAAAAATCATTGCCAAATCCAACATTGTGAAGCATTCCCCCTATGTTTTTTTCTAAGAGTTATACAGCTTTAGTTCTTATGGTCAAGTCTTCGATCCATTTAAGTTAATTTTTATTTACGGTGTAGGGTAAGGGACCAATGTCATTCTTCTGCATGTGGCTATCTAATGACCATCCTTTCCCCACTGAATAGTCTTGGCACCTTTCTAAAAATCATTTGACCACTTATGCTTACGTTTATTTCTTGTCTCTTTATTCTTAGGTTCTTTTTATCCTTTGACTCCATCAGCCTAAGCATATTTGGCTTTTCCCCCTCATTGTTACAAAATTGGTGCCTCAGCACCACATATCGTATCCTATAGCCACATTTAAAGGCAAGATCCAAGGATATGTGGGTGGGTGTCTCTCTCTTTTTTAATCAGGAATATTCCCAGGAGTCCTCTGGCCCCGGCAGACTTCTCTTAAGCAATGGTGTGCTGAAGCCAGTTTGTACCAGCCTGTGAAAGCAGATTATTACATTTTGTAGAATTTTGTAAGCTGGTTGCTAAACACCATCACCCTTGAAATTGCCATGGTGGGAGCATTTATACCATGGAACTTGGTGAATGCTACAAATCAGGACTTTTTTCTATAGGAGAGTGGTTTATCAGCACATTCTTGCCCAAAAATTGTACTAGTCAGAACCAACTGGTATGGCCACCCTAGCTTAAGGAAATCTTAGAAAGTGAGCATCTGTCATCTTCGGCCTGTGTCAAGGGAAGTAGGCTTTGCTAGCAGGCAAAGGGAGAGTTGGGGAAGCAACTGTGGTGTTTGCCACTAATGGCTTTCAATGCTGGGAGCTATTTGTAGTTACTTAAAGGCTGTCTTTGAAACGTCTCAGAAGACAATGCTATGGGCTCAGTGGAAGAATGGACAGAGCTTTCACAGTGACATAGTAATTACAGTAAGAGGCGGGGTGCCAGGGCAGGCTTTCTAAACTATACAATGAGGGCCTGGTAAGGATGTGGCCCAGCAACTTCCTGTAACCTCAATGGAGGGCCTCCTTGACACAGATCAGAGACTATGAACAGCCAGTGGACACGAGGCTTGAGTGCTGATGAGAAGGGAGGATCCCTGAGGGGCTGCAACAGAAGCAGGGGTCCTAGAGGGTAGTAGAAGTATTCCCTGAAGAAGAGCCGACAAAGGAAGGCCTGCCTTCCTTGGCCAAGTACTCCTTGCTGACTAGGCCATGGATGGCCATGATCTTGAGGAGTCCATGGCGAAATTTCTGGCCAATGAAGGCATAGATGAGGGGATTGAGGCAGCTGTGCAAGAAGCCCAGAATCTCGGTGGCATTCAGGGCCTGATCAATGTGGTTTCGGCGCTCACAGCTCTCCGCGATCACCCCTATCCTCATGAGGGTATCTGACACCAGGACCAGGTTGAAGGGCAGCCAGCAGAGCAGGAAGACGAGCACGACAGCAAAGATGACCCGCATGGCCCGGTGCTTCTGCCCCATGTGGGCCTGAAACAGCGTGCGCAGTGTGAGTCCATAGCAGAACAGCATGATCAGCAGCGGCAGGAGGAAGCCGAAGGTCTGAGGCAGGACTCGCATCACCACACGCCATTTTGTTGTATTGGCACCCATGTCCTCATAGCAGACTGGGCTGAAACCAGATGTGTAGACGGTCTTGCGGAAGACAAAGATGGGCAGGGCTAGGATCAACGATAGGGCCCAGATGCCTATGCATATGAACTTGACCCAGTGCCTCTTCTGAGTCAGTGTGCGTGTGGCATGGACAATGGCCAGGTAGCGGTCCACGCTGATACAGGCCAGCAGCAGGATGCTGCTGTAGAAATTGACTTCCTTCAGAAGCGAGACCGCCTTGCACAGGATTGTGCCGTAGATCCAGCCCTTTGCCTTGGAGGCAGCCCAGATAGGCAAGGTCAGGGCGAAGAGCAGGTCAGCTATGGCTAGGTTCAGCAGATAGACATCAGTGACAGAGCGGCTGACCCGACTGTATAAGACGACCAGCATCACTAGAGAGTTTCCCAGCAGGCTCAGCAGGAAGACCAAGGCATAGATGATGACCACAGCATACTTGTTGATATCCAGAGATTCTGGCCGGCAGGGGGAAGCGTCCATTGGAATAAAGGGCAGGCCAGTGCTGTAATTGTAATTCTCATAGAGCTCTTCCAAGCTGTAATTCTCCAAGTTAAAGTCCTTCATATTTGAGTCTTCCATATTATAGTCTTCCATATTTGTGGCCTAGAGAAGAGAGATAAGCATTATTGTTCAGTGAAGCTCCCAGATTCCAGGCCCTCTGCCCATGAACTTAGGATAAGATTTTTTGTATTGGCTTGTATATTAAATGGAAGTAGTTGTCACTTCAGGAAATAGCAGGGGATCTCACATTATGAGTCATGTTTAATGATAAATTGTACATTTCACAAAAAGAGTATAGTTCCCTTCAAAGTCAGAGAGAGGCTCTTAGCACTTTCCATGACGTCGGCATCACCCAAAACATTGTGGAAACTTCCCTTCACATAATCCCTACAGAACCTGTTGTCTTGGATGCCTCAATGGTGAGCAACCCTGACTATTGAGGCTGATTTTAATATCAGAACCATGAGGTGCCATTCAGTTTCTCAATCTGGTGGATTAAGTAGGCAATCCAACTGGGTTGGACCCTGAGTAAAAAAATCAAGGTTTAACTATAAAGCTGAGAGAAGAATCCCTTTGTCCAAATTTCTGTAAGTTATTTAAAAGACGTGTTCTGGAAAAACAGTTTGAGCAATAGTGGCATAGAGTTTCAGAATGCTTGAGCTAGAAGAAAGTTTACTCAGTTAGCATGGCCTTGTGTTGTTCTTTCGGAATTCAGAAGGCTTGCTCTGGGAGTATTTGTGTAGATTGAAAAAATACATTAAAAGGCATAAGCAGTTAGCTGGCTGACTGATTCTCCAAGTGGGTGGGAATGTAACAGATTATCTTGGGAGCTCTGGACAGTCATATTCTGCCATGTAGGAGGGCAGAGAAAACTAAGAGGCTCCCAGAATAAGGAGGAGGGGTAGCAAGAAGCAGAGAAGGCAGGTGGAGACATATTACCCTTGGTTTGGTGGCTTCCTTGTCTAGGTGGAGACCCTTCCTGGCCTGCCAGTGCATGCCTTTACCCATCCCTACCTCGCCAGTACCACCAGGTAAACCCATCTCTGTTGATTCTGCCCTTGTTGTGGGGTTAGTGGAGAGCCTGCTTCTGGAATGGGGGAAGCTGCAGCCACTTTGAAATATTATCCTCGTTTTCAAAGAGGAAGTAGACTAAAGTAAATGAGCTACCAAATTAGCTTCCTTTTGAACCACAAAATATATGGCCATCGTGCCATTTCTTTATAAGGTATGAGCATCCTGTGACCATATGCAAGCCTGTAACCCTCCTCTAAATGGAACCCAGTGTTAAAGAGAAAAACACAAAGTAAAAGTCTCAGGAATTACTCCACAGTTCACTAGGATGATCATAATAAACAAAGATGGACAATAACAATGCTGAGGGGGATGTAGGGAAATTGGACTCCTCATACATTGCTGGTGGGAATGTGAAATAGTACAGCTGCTGTGGAAAACAGTTTGGCAGGTGTTAAAAAAGTTAAACATAGAGTTAGCATATGACCCAGGAATTCCACTCCTAGATACATACTCAAAAGAACTGAAAACATATGTCCACACAAAAACTTGTACATGAATGTTCATAGCAGTATGATAGCCAAAAAGTAGAGACAATCCATCAACTGATAAATGGATAAACAAATGGTGGTATACACACACAATGGAGTATCATTCAACCATAAAAAAGAAGGAAGTACTGATACATGCTACGATGTGGATAAACCTTTAAAATGTTATTCTAAGTGAAAAAAACCAGACACAAAAAGCTTTATACTGTATGATTCCATGTGTGCGCAGCCTCCAGAGTAGGCAAATCGGTAGAGACAGAAAGTAGATTAATGGTTGCCAGGGGCTGGGGGGCCAGGCAGAATGTTAATGGGATCATGAAAGTGTTCTGGCATTCGATTGTGGTGATGGTTGTATAACTTGGTGCATATACTAAAAATTACTGACTTTTACACTGTAAATGGGTGACTTTTATGGTGTGTGAATTATATCGCAATGAAAAAAAAAAGGCTAACCAAAGGGTATAGCCTTGCAAAGCAAATACAAATATTAAAACAACATTAACAACAGAAACAACAACAAAAGTCCTAGGAAGCTTTTCTCTTTAGCAGAAGAAAGTCTGTCAATCATATATAGCAAAGAAAGCCGAGTGGGGTTAAGAGAAACCGGAAAAATAGTGCCTTTGTTTTTCCTAGAGTGATGGAATTATTACTCTTTACTTTCCTGAGAAGGAATTATTTTTTTCTTCCTTAAGTGATGGGGCCAGGTAAATTGCCTTCTTAGCACATGGAGACCACAGATAGAGCAGATTTGATCAGTCTGTGAATTTAGAAAGATGTAGTGATGAGGGTAGGGCCCAGTCGGCCAGGGTGATAGGGTGGTAGTGGGAGAGGCAGATAGTACAGCTGGCTTGGCCAGTGTTATTGGCAAGACCTGCAAGAAATCATTGGTTCTGTAGTCCCATGGTCATGAGCAAGTTTGCTCAGAGGCCCAGGGTTATGTCCAATGAAGTTATGAGGTCAAGGGTGGGTGACCTCTGGGAGCAGATGATTGGAGATACTCTTAAGGGAACGAATGACCTGAGGGAAGATCCACCTTTGAGAGAGGATGCAAATCATTGATGGGTGCAGAGAGCTTGTGCCCATAGAGAAGAGAACCCTACATTTCTGCTTAGGCAGGGCTGGGGCAGCTGCAGAAACTGCCCTATGAGGAGAGGCAGCAGCAGGCAAGCATGTTTCACAGGTAAGCCCTCATTCTGGGTTATCCAGTGCTCAGCTGTGCTGGGGCTGGGCTGCAGGTGTATGAGTGAGCACCCCTCCCGTGCAAGTCAGGACAGACATAGAGAACTCAGGAAACAGAAGCAGGCCAGAGCAATGACCTCCAGCCACTGAATGTTCTGTTGTTTGTTTGTTTGTTAACCAATCTCTGAGAGGATGTTTTAGCAGTTAAAGGGAGAAATTAAAGGAAGGAGATGACACCTCTGAGAGCTGCTTTGTGCCTCATACGTACATGATCTTTCTCAATCATTGCAAGCAGATATGATTAAGCTCCTGTTTACCAGTGAGAAGATGGGCAAAGCAGGGCTCAGAAACCAGCCTCGGGTCCTCAGAGCCTAGAAGTGTTGCAGCCAAAATTCCAACTAGGTGTGAATGGCTCTGCATGCTATTTTCATTCTACAGACCTGCTTCCTTAAAAATCGCACTCTGAGCTTTCTTGGAGGAGGCCAAAGTGCAACTTTCTTCATTCATCCAAAATCCAGTTTCATCAGACACCAGCCACCTGCACCATGCAGCCTAAATTCTACCCGAATGAGATCAAAGCCTTCTGTACAAGAGGTGTACTGGTGGGGAAGCCGCACCACATCTGCCCTGGCCCCCAAGATCAGCCCCCTGGGTCTGTCTCCAAAAAAGTTTGGTGATGACATTACCAAGGCAACAGGTGATTGGAAGTGTCTGAGGGTAACAGTGAAACTGACCATTCAGAAGAGACAGGCTGATATTGAGTTGGTAGCTCTGCCTCTGCCCTGATCATCAGAGCCCTTGAGGAACCGCCAAGAGACGGAAGGAAACAGAAAAACATTAAGACGGGCCAGCCGAGTGGCTCAGTTGGTTAAGAGTCACTCAAGAGTGTGAGCTCTGAGCAACAGCGGTTTGATGCCCAGCCCGAGCTGAGCTGCTGCTGAGCTGCCAACAGGTGGCAGGATGGCTCAGCTAAAAAAAAAACCCACCAAAAACACAACAAAAAACCCCCAGAAAAACCTTAAGCACTGTGGAATTATCACTTTTGATGAGATTGTCCACATCGCCTGACAGATGTGGCGCTGATCTTTTGCTAGAAAACTCTCTGGAATCATTAAAGAGAGTCTGGGGACGGCTCAGTCTTGAGCTGCCACATCAATGGCCGCCACCCTCATGACATAATAGATGACATCAACAGGGTTGGGGTGGAATGCCCAGCTAGGTAACAACTACAAAAAGATTATTTGCAACACCCCCGCCCCCTCCTCCAAAAAAAAAAATAACACCTCATACATTAAATATATTTGTAAGCTAAATTCTTGAGATATCATTAAGTCAACGTGTGTATAGTTCACACCCATTGTTTGATGTGCTGTACATTACTTTCTTTGCTATTCCTTAAGCTCATAATTAAAGAAACAGCCCTTGCAGGAATGATAAACCAAACGCCCTTGAACTAGCTGACCCCTACTGATCACCCAGTCGTGTCCTCAGTGACCCAGCGGGAGATTGCCTCATTGAACAAAATTGCCTGCCCCTCATGACTAACAGTAGTTCAGAAACTCCATAGGTGGGATGATTCTAATTTATTTCATAAAAATGCTGTAGAACGAGGACATTTACAAGATCCCAAATATTTAAGGCAATCTTTTAAATAACAACAAAGAAATCAGTTATTTTAATACAATTCCAATATTTTTTCTCTATATAAATATCATCCATAACATTTGCATTTAATATATGGGAGGGGGGACTCAACAGTGTCGGGTCCTTCCTCAGGCCCAATCTTGGTCAAAACAGAGAGAGCTGGCTGAGTCTGGAAGGGAAACGGGTGGGCAGTGAATTGTCCTAAGAGGTTGTTGAGGAGAGGTGTAAGGAAGAGGGGCAGAAACTCTGCCTTTGGAGATACTGAGGCCTAAAGAGAGAGAATGAAGAGATTAAGGGATATGGATGAGGCCCACCAAGCGGGGGGGGGGGGGGATAGATGCCTGGAATAAATGGAGGCTAGTGTCAAGGGAAAGCAAGAACAGAGACATTCTGAACGGTGGGAGGGGTGGATGTCCCAAGACTTACCAGGATTCTGGGCTTTTCACCTGTAGGACACCTTCAGGAGATCAGATGTGTCTGACTGCAAGGGCGGCAGTGGTGAGAACAGAGGAAGTGAGTGGTGATTAGATTGCTCAATTTTGGGGTGGAGCCCGTGAGAGTGCAGGATGCTCTTGATAACTTGAATAATTAATTCCCAGGTCAGCTTTTGGATCACTAGACATTTTATGTACGGGTGGGGTTCATACTGGGAAAGGACCTGTGGTGTTTTCTAGCCAATCTTTCCATTTCACAGAGGAGGAAGCAGGCCCACACAAAGGCAATGGTTTGCCCAGGACCACACAGATTTCTCTTATCTTCGCCTTGATCTCAGCAGCCTTGGTCTTGTTCATCTGTCCTGACTCTCTCCACACTTTAGCTGCCCCGAGCTTCCCTGTGACTCCTGTCCAACACTACCTCTCTTGAACATCTTTCACATCTCAAAGGGCAACAGTTCATTAAGACAACACGGATGGCACTTAAGCTTCTGGAGAGTCTAGTACTTTCTTCCCTCGACCTAATGCCTCTTGTCTCCAGCCCATCCACCCTGGGAATCCTTAAAGCCTCATAGATCCCTTCTCTATGCCACATCCCTTTGAGAACCCCCACCCCAAGTGGCGGCCCAATTCCAACTCTCTTTGTCTTTCACCCCACTCTGGAACCATCTGCTTTGACCATGAGTTTCTCTTAGGGCATTGCCCTTCTTTCTTGGCTTGTACCCTGGGATTGGGTCTGCCATAGCTACCACATTTGGGGCCAAGACCATCTAGTTTGGAAAGAAAACCTTTTGGTAAAAGTTAAAATCCCACCCAAGTCCAAACACATTTTTGAAAACAGTGCTGAGTGACACTACGAGTATATTTTGTCACATTTGCTATTGATTGCAATCGAAAGGATAAATACAGGCAGAGAAGTGAACACGAATTCACTGCCCCCTCCCAAGCCCTCACCCAAAGACCAATGCCTTAGTCCTCTGCACACTCGTTTCTATAGCCTCTCTCTCCATGCATCCCAGGGCCCACTGACTACTCGAAGCCAGTGGCAAACTCACTTAAGTTACCTACCCTAAGGAAAGAACCTCTGAGTCCAACTGTTTAGCAAACATTCTTTGTAATTTCCCTCTTTTCCATGTTGGAGAAGAATGCAATGACTCCTGGCCAGGTGATGCTAAGACCAGACAGAGGCTCATGACACACGGAGAGGCAGGTGAGAGCAGCGGTTAAGAACTGTGTTAGCTGAGCAACTCTGGGCAAGCAACCTTTCCTTTCTGAGTCTCAGCGTCCTCATCTGTAAAATGAGGCCAATGATAGAATCCAGCTCATCAGATTGTGCTGAGGATGAAATGAGGGATTACCCGAAAAGCACTTAAGACACATACAAAGCATGAAGTTAGCATCTATTGTCGTGATCATTATTACTGAAACAGTTTATCAGCTAATAGCATGCTATCTCTCCCGCTACATCCCCAAGCAATGGGTCTGCTGTCCAGGCTGACTTCCATGTACATCTTAATTTGCTCTGACCTAGATGACAATAGTTACACTAGCTGTACTGTTGAGTACCTATAAAGGTTTAGCTTCTGGGAAAAGTGCTTTTTCAGAATCTGTATCCTTTTATCCTCACAACAACCCCATGAAATATGTACTCTCTGAATGAGGAAACTAAGACTCAGGGAGTTAAGCAATTTACCTACAGTGACGCAGATGAACTGGATTTTAAGCAGCTTTTAAGACATTCTTTTACCTGACTTCTTTGTCCCAGACAACTGAATACAAAAGGTGTAGAAAGGAGAGCCCAGATTTGACAGTTCCCAACTGGCCTGCTTCTTGATTTTCACTAGGCTGATTCATTTCCATCGAGCCCACCACATGCATATCAATGGTAGGGTGAATAAAGAACCAGCTTCCAACCCTGATTCTATTAATGATCAGGCTGAGCTTGAACAAGTCATTTGTCTCTGAGCCTTGATGCGGTTCATTGGAAAATGAGAAGATTGTTCCAGCTCTGTACTCTCCAATATGATAGTTACTAGCCACATGTGGCTACTTCAATTGAAATGAGTTGAAATAAAAAAACTAGTTTCCAAGTCAAATCAGCCATATTTCAAGGGCTCAATAGCCACACGTAACTAAGAGGCTACCATTTTTGGATAGTGCAGCTATAGAATATTTCCATTATTGCAGAAAGTTCTTTTTTATACTATGCCGTCTAGGTGAGGATTTAGTTATCTTTAGCTTTAAGAGTCTGCAATTCATCACCTCAGTTCTCAGGGGACTCAGACTGCAATTTCCAAGTCCCCTCCACCAAAAATATGTCCCCATCAACCCTAAGACTGAACAGCTCACTTATCTGCAGTTGCTGCTACAGCTGTTATTGTTATTGGAGTGGCCTCTGACACCTGTGTGACTCAGGGCTTGGTAGCAGTCAGGGCTGTTGGACAGGATAAAAGTGAAGCAGGCTTTCAGGGAAACTCCTGACCCAGGGTTGCCAAGGGGGAAGTCCGAAAGGCCCACCAAGGGAGGTGTTTCTCCAGCGGAGCAGTAAGGCCTGTCCTGGGACTCTGACTCCAGGTCGAGATGCCACCTGCAGAGTCTGCATCAGCATTGGAGACTTTCATGCCTTCCTGTCTTGTCTGATGGCTTCAGGAGGAGCCTGACAGTCTGAAGGTGGAGGTTGGCCTAGTCTATCTCTCTCACTGAGTGTTTTGAACCTGTACCTCCTTCTTTAAAAGGAAGATGCAACCCCAGCCCCCAGCTGACAGACTTGCCTGAACTTGCACGTGCACTTTCTTCTTTCTTTGTAGGGTCTGTGTGAGAAGCATCCTTTCTCTTTCTGGTGAATTCCTGCACCTAGCTGTGGGACCAGTGGGACCCACTGCCTCTTACATCCTTGAGGATCCTGCCCTTTTGGCCCTTCAACCACCTTCTTCCCCTTCAGCCCCAGAACCTGCTTATGCCTTTCTCTCCCTTCCCCTGTGTTAGGTTCCCTTTAGCGACTGCTCCACAGTGCCCTCTTGTTCATAAGCAAACTTCTCGAAAAAGCAGCTGTCTCCACTTTGCCACCTTTTGTTCGGTGCCCAACCCACTGCCACTAGCTTCCTTCCCAACACTGCTGAAACAGCTTTTGCCAGGGTTACCAGTGACCTCTGGGTTACTGAATCCAATCAACGCTTTTCTTAAAGAAAACGGTCTTAATGTTATAAAAATAAAGCATGCGTATCGTAGAGAATATAGGTGACACAAAAATATATAAAGTAAAATTGGAAAGATTCCCTTCCATCCTTCTCTTTGTTCACCCATATTTGTGTTTTTTTCCCCCAGACTTTTACTGGTGCATGCACAAACATGTTTTCCTTCCTTCCTTCCTTAATAAAAACGATATTTAACTAGTTATATTTTATGCACCTTAATAAAGTATCATGGACTTATTCCACTTCAGTGCATGCAGGTCCAGCTCATTATTTTCAATGACGACATAATGGTCAATGGTGTGTATGTATCATGGTTTATTTGATAATTACCTTACAGATGAATGTTTAGGTTCTTGCTATGAGCATCTTTGGATATAGGTCTTTTGGAACTTGGATGAGTGTTTCTGTAGCTTAAGTATGATTTTGCTGGGTCATATCTGTACATGTTTAAATTTTGATAAATTTGACTACATTGACCTTTAAAAAGACTGTCAGTTTGCTCTCCCATCATTAGTTTATAAAAGGCCCTGTTATCCTCTCTACATATATGATTTTCTGCTAGCCTGCTGCATGCTTTTACCTTTATTTATGGTGAAATGGTTACTATTCAAGTCTTATCTTACTGGATTTCTGCCTCACTTCATCCTACTGACCCCGTTTTCTTCTTTCTCCTGAACCTCTTTTGGTCTTGTTTGTTGCTTTAGTTCTCAATCCATTTTCAAATATGGGTTTTCCAGGGGTTCTGCCGTGGCTCTCTTCTCTGCCTGCTCTCCCTAGCCAGCCCGCCTCCTTCCTTGGCTTCAGCTACCACCCGAGATGCCAGTGTTTCTCACACCTGTAGTCTCCAACTTCTAAGTTCTCTCCTAAACTTACACTCTTACATGCACTTACCTTCTGAAATCTCCCCTGAGGTTTCACAGATGCTGCACACTCAACCTGTAGAAAACCGGACCCCTGGAATTCCCTGATACACGTGCTTCTCCTCCTGAGAGCCCTCTTGTCTATTCCATATTCATCTGCTTAAGCTGAAATCAGGGCACGCCCCTCACACTTCCCTCCTCTTCCTCTCTACAGAGGCTCTCTTCTTAATATCACTGTTGACAGTGTTAGGCAACACGTCATTCTCTCTCGCCTAAGCTACTTCAATAGTCCGGTGATAGCTGTGGATTCCAGGGCTGGGCTATCTGAGTTAGGATCCCTGCCACGTCACTTATTGGTGTAGACCTTGGGCAAGTTATTTAATTTCACTGGGTCTCAGTTGCATTGTCTGTAAATTGAGGACAATGAGGACACCTACTGCATAGGGTTGTCATGTGGATTAAATGAGCCTGGATGTATAAAGAACTTGGAATGGTGCTTGGCACTGTTGGCTGTTGCTGCTGCGACTACCACCATTCTCCTAGAGGCTCTCTGCCTCCAATCTTTTCCCCCTCAATTCATCCTCCACTCTCCTTTCAGAACAATCTCCGTGAAGTGTGAATATGATCACACTTTTTTCCTCTTGCAAGGACCCCCGTTACTCTCAGGCAGAGTCAAACTCCTAACTCATGTACTTCTCCAGTCTCATCTCAGGCCATACCCCATTGAACCCTTAACTTCAGCCACAGGGAACCATCTGTACTTCCCCCAAGGAGCTGTTCTGCTTCCTCCTCGGGACCCGGCATGCACTTCACTTTCCCCGGGTGCGTTTTTTCTAACCCTCTGGGTCTGGCCAACTCTCCCTTTTCCTTTTAAATTCATCCCAGTGGTCAGCTCCAGAGACTGCCATCTGTACTCTCTGCACCCCTGGGCTTACTCTATCATGGCTTCAGTTATGGAGTTTTGTAATCATCTTGTTTGGCTGCTTCCTCCTCCTAACTGTGAAGTTCATGAAAGCAGGTATAATGTGCATGTGTGTGTGTGTGTGTGTGTGTGTGTGTGTGTGTGTGTAACCTCTGTATCCCCAGACGAATCAGTGTTTGTCATATCCTAGGTGTTTAATATAATTTATTTGAGCACTGAATGACTTGACAAAGTGGGGAAACTGATAAGACGTTGGAGCATTCAAGGGACATCTAATTAAAGAAATAATTATGTTGCCCAAATTTTCCAGGACACCTCCAGCCTGTGAGCTCAATGAAGTCACGTCAATAGCGATAGCCCACATTTCACTGGCTCAGACCCCTGAGCTCATGCAGGGCTTCATCCCCCTATAAAGTGCTCCCCAGGAATTTGGGGGCACTTCTCATGTGCTTCTCTGGGCACTGCTGTGCTAGATACGTGCCCTGGGGTCACTGCTGAAGGTCTGGCACTCTCGCAGTGTCACGCTCTGGGGCGGTCTATGGTGACCCTTGTGAAACCTTCTGCTAGAGGGTTCCTGGGTCTAACGGGCTTTTCCAATGTTTTTGTGGAAGACTTGTGCTCTCCATTGGATGTGGTGGGGACCCTTTGGGGAGTAGTGTTGAGCTAGAGGCTGGTTCCCAGAATTGACCTCCATCCCTCCCAAACAGGGGGAGAAGGTCAACCTCCCCCATTCTTGGTCCCTGGTTTCCTTCTTACAAATTCTCGTCCAGGAGCATCTTGATCCCACTTTGAAAATAAGCTTCTTAGGCCCCTCCCCCCCATCAGTTCATCAGGCAGGTCTGAACTCCACACTGGAGCTCTGACTAGAATACGATATCTTCCACTGTTATAAGAACCCTGTCCTCATAAAGGTATCTGAGCAAGCCTGACCTCCAGGAAGGGACTGCTGCCCTTTAGGGTAAGGATCATTCCTTTGCCCTGATCGCTCCGGGAGCCCCAGCTCGGCATCCCCTCCTTCCATTTCCTGTAACCCCCCCCTTCCCCCCCGCAACCTTGTTGCTGACTTTGTTAAGGAGAAGTTCTCACTGGCTGTCCAGGGCAGGAACTGCTGTTGTGAAATTCTTGCTCCATGTGATGGTAATGAGGTGCAATTGTGGGTGTCCATGACCCCAAGAGGCGGTCTCCAGGCTCTGGTCAGAGCCACAGGGTTTCCCAACTTCTGCAGATGCTCTGGTCATCTGTGTGCAGCACGGGGACAGTGCGCATGCCGGTCTGGGGCCGCAATCTGCCCTGGAGCCCAGGTAGGGCTAATTGCCTTCTCGTAGAGTGGGGCCCCCACTTCTTCAGAAACAGTATTCTCAGAAACACCACAGTTGAGTGCCCAGTGAGTAACACGCAATTTGCGGAAGACTTCTTGGGCCATCAGAGGATATAATCTTCTACCATGGAGCTACATGAGTCCTTATCAACTGTCTTTATTAAAATCTAGGTGAGTGCGCACTAAACAGAGAGTCACTTAGACTCAGCTCCTCCCTCCAGGTGCTCACAGCTTGGGACTGATCAGTTCACCACAGTGGTTGGAAGGGGAGGACGAAGAGGCCCAAGTCCCATGTCCATGCCTCCTCTCCTGTCCACCAAACCAGGTGCGCTGGGAAGCATCTGGGGCTCCCCCACGCTGCTGGCAGGATGGTACAATGCACAACCTCTTTGGGAAATAACTCAGCAGTTTCTTAAACACACACCTGCCATATGACCTGGCCATTTCATTTTAGGTATTAACCCGAGAGAAATACAGGCATATGTCTACACAAGGATTCATACACAGATGGTTATAGGAAACTTATTTGTAATAGCTTCAAATTAAAAACAACCCAAATGTCTGGCAACAGGTGAATGTGTGAACAAATTGTGGTATATCCATGCAGTGGACTATTACCCAGTAGTGAAAAAGTGTTGGATATATATATACAACAACATGGATGAATCTCAAAACAATTATGCTGAATAAAAGAAGGCAGACAATAAAGCATGCATATGGTGTGATTCCATTTATATAGAACGCTAGAAAATGCAAGCTTGTTTCTAATGACAGAAAGCAGGTAAATGGTTTCCTGGGGAGGAGGAGGGGGAGGAGGAGGGAGGGATTCCAAAGGGCATGAGGAAGCTCTGGGCCTGACTGATGTGTTTGTTTGTTCATTATTTGGAATATGGTGATGGTTTCATGGATGTAAATTAAAGTAAAAACTCATCACGTTGTACAATTTCTGTGAATTGTGTTATATGTTAATAGTCCCTTGAGAAAGCTGTTAAAAACAAAACAACAAAAACAGACCCTGAAGCAGACTCCAGACGGGAAGCACGTGGAGACTCCGAGACTGTGCAATGTTTTGAAGGGTGGGCTGGGTGAGGAGGGAGTATGGAGGAGAAATGTCAGGACCACTGGACCTTACTTATTTTTGGTCAAGGACTTTCTGAGCCTGAAGGGACTTTAGAGTGGATGGCGCCCGACTCCCTCATGTTACCAAAAAAGCCTGAGGAGCTGAGAGCTTTGCCAAAGCTGCCCAGCTCATCAGTTGTAGATGGAGGCTCAAACCTGTCTCCTGACTGCCAGCCTAGCTCCTTCGACTCGCCACACCGCAGTCTGGCCACACAAGTGCCGTCGGCCTTAAGTCACCAAGCTCTGGAAGGTAGGACTGGTCAGGCCAGAGACCTGGGAAGGGCCGAGGGAGAGTGGGGTGGGCTGGCCAGTCTTGGGTGGGTCTTGGTCAGATGACCTGGGCTTCTCCTTTCTGGGCACAGAGTGGGCAGCAGCGCTCTTGTTTCTTATAATCCACAGAGCAGGCATGGCAGATCAGGCCTCGACAGAGCCTGGCAACAGAGGTGAAAAGAGTGGAGAACACATGGGTATGTATGGGGGAGATGGTCATGGGGCCGCACTTCCAGTCCACCTGCCTGTTTCTCATTTCCCAGCAGAATAGCTCTGGGTCTGTCTCAGGGGGCCTCTCTTTCCTAAAGGGGGTCCTGACGCCCCACCCCTCCAAGGTCCTCTAAGTCCAAATGGCAGGTTCTCCTGATGGCCCACTTTCCTCTCTTCTACTGCTTGTCTTGCCACTGCGTTCCCAGAGGAAGGTGAGGGGAGCATCTTCCTCTGTACAGGAAATCTCTTCCCAGATGAGAAGCCCATTAATCAGTTTATTCTAAGAAGGGTTACACCATCCTGTCTTCCAGACACCATTCCTGTCTGACTACTCGTCACTGCTCTTGTTCATGTCTCTGCTAAGTGCTGGGTAAAATGAATGGCCAGCTTTAAGTAGCCTTTCATAAATGCCCAGTTTCTGTGTCCCTCCCTTTCCTGGAGTGAGCAGGGACCTGTAGGCTGGTGGAAACTGGGTTGTCCCAGAGGAAGGGTTCTGTGTCCTACTGATTACCTGCACGGGTAACGCCGAGACAGTCGGCCAAAGAGCTTGCTACAGCTGACACAGCATCCAGGGGCCACAGAAGAGAGATGCTGGACCTTCTGCCACAGGTTATCCTTCTCTCTAATGGGAGCATGGAGGTGGAGACACACACACAGAGATGGAAAGAGCATGGATGGAGAGGCAGAGAGGGACAGAAAGAGAAACACGGAGACAAAGAGGAAAAGAGACACAGAGTGACAGGAGTCACACAGAGAAGCACACACACAGAGCAAAAAGAGACAGGGAGACAGAAGGGCAGGAAGACAGAGACACAGAAATGGAGAGGGAGACAATGAGGGCCAGAGAGAGACAGTCACTCAGAGAGAAAGGAAGTCAGCAGTTGGAGAGGGAGACAGAGAGAGATACACAGAGAAGTAGAGAGATAAATGCAGTGGGAGAGGGAAAGACACAGGGAGTAAGATTCAGAGGCAGACCGGGACAGAGACACAGACAGAGAAAGATGGGAGACAGAGAGAGACAGACATAGTGATGGAGAAAGAGAGAGACAAATGAAGAGGAGACAGACATACACACACACAAGAGAGATCAGTGGGTATTCAGTCTTTCTGAGAAGATAGCTGGCGACACCCAGGTCCCCCTTGCCCAACATAGTCTTGACCTACTAGTTAAGAACATGCTCAACTCTTACCGCCTCTAAGGAGTGCTCCTTGATGGTAGAGGCCCCCGGGGTTTTCTTGCTTCTGATGCCTGTTACAATGCCTATCATCTCTCATTTGGCACTCAGTACAAACTGCCTTGGAGTTATGTATGTTTATGCCCCTACATAACTATCTTCACTGTTTTTTTTAAAAGATGTTTAGGACGGCGGGTTGTTTCAAATTTTTATCGAAACGATACATACCCATGATTTAAAAGTCACGCAGTACAGAAGGACTTACATCAGAAGGCAACGGACACTCTTCCTCCTCCTTCCCGTTCGCAGTGGCTAACCACTTCTTACATGTTTTAGCTTTTTCTCCTGACAGTACTTCTGTATTTAAGTAATATGCTCATATTCTCTCCTTCTTGATTTATCAATAGAGAACAACGTCTATAGAGCTCCGTGCCTTGATGTCAGAGGAGTTGGCTCATTCATGGCCATTTCCACGAAGTCCTCGTCCTTCCCCTCAACGTAGTTATGACCCTATTTTAGGTTCCTGTATTAGTTACTATTGGACTTTTACAGAATATACGCACCCATTTATTTCTCACGCATTCTATTAACCATCGATAGTGTCTTATGTCTGCCATTCTGTAACATGACGATGCCAGCATCCCTTCTCTTCACCTCTTCTCCTTTCCCCACCTCCTAACTTGTCATGGATTCCTGCAGCACCCAATAAGGTAGGCGCTAGCCATATGTGGCTATTTAAATTTATATGTAACTTAAAGTTAAATAAAGTGAAAACGTCCATCCCTCGGTTGCACCAGTCACATTTGAAGTACTTAATTGCTATATCTGAGTAGTAGCTGTCAGGACAGGACAGATATAGAACATTTCCACCTTCACAGAAAGTTCTATTAGGTTGCGTTGTATACTTAGTATTATTTAGGTGGTAACATTTATGTTTGTTCATTAATTTTAATTGTTTTCTGTGCTTTGCCTTTAGGTTGAGTCTAACATTGAAGAAAATTAATGAATAGTATTTACATTGTTAGACAATATATAAGCATATTGCTTTAAGCAGAACTGTGTTCTATAACATTTCCCTTCTTGGAAATTTTTTGTTTTTCTAGAACTTTCTAATTGCCATTCTTTGTTCCTTGCATGACTTAACCTTAACATCGACTACTTCCCTCACCCCAGTTCTTCATCATATCATGTGTTTTATCGATTTTCTTTCTTCCCAGAGATGGTCTTCCTTGGGCCCTCAATTCTTCTATTATAGCCTGAACTGACTGCTTCCTGGCCTTGCCACCCACTTGTCATTCTAGGAATTCCCAGGTCTCCCCTGGGCTAGAGCTACTGTTTCCTGAATTCCACATCTTCTTCTTCTTTTTTTTTTTTTTTTGGCTCACTTCCTTGTTTTTTTGGGATACATCCTTAATTAACTTCTTAAGAAGGCTGTGTGGGAAGTAAATGTTCTGTGACCTGTCTGTCCAAAAAAATGTCTTTCGTCTATCACCTTCCCCACTTGCTTCATAGTTTGCATACAGTTCTAGGGCAAATACTCATCTTTTCTCAGAACTAGGAAGTATTACACCATTGATTCTTAACATCTGTTGGATTCTACTTCTTTTATAAGTGACACTTATAGGATAGTCTCCTTATCTTTGTTTTAGTGAAATTTCACAATGATGTATCTAGATGTGGGGTTTCCCCCCTTTTCACTTAATGTGCTGGTCATTCAGTTAAATCTTTAAATCTGAAGACCTCTGTCCATTAGAGCTGGGAAAGTCATATTTTTATCTGATAATTTTCTCCATTTTATTGTCTCCTTTTTTAGGAATTCCTATCAGTTAAAGAAGATACTGGGACTCCTGGATTGATTCTTTATGTCTTTCATGATGCCTCCCATCTCTCTGTGCTTTTTATTCTATTTTCTGAGAGGTTACCTCATCATTCTTTCCCAATCCTAGTTAATTTTTAAAATTTTCAGCAATATATATTTTTTTTAGCTGAGCCATCCTGCCACTTGTTGGCGGCTCAGCGGCTGCTCAGCTCAGGCCGGGACTCGAACCGCTGTTGCTCAGAGCTCAAACTCTTGAGCGAGCTCTTAACCAACTGAGCCACTTGGCCAGCCCTCAGTGATATTTTTAATTTCCAAGAATGTTCACCTTTTCACAACATCTTGTTTCATGGGAGATGGAGCTTCCTTTTTTTTTTTTTAATCTTCATCTCTCCCCTTCATGTTCTAGACTCTCCTCAAATGTGTGGGGATCCTTGCTTGCCATTACATGTTTAAGAAAAACGTGATAGGGTCAGCCGAGTGGCGCGTTGGTTAAGAGCTGGCTTGGGACGCCAGAGGGCCCCGGTTCGGATCCCACATATGAGGGCCAGTGACACTGCCCTCTACAGCTAAGATGCTGAACAACAGCTCAACCTGGAGCTGGGCTGCCGTGAGTTGCCGGCGATGGCGTAGGCTGCAGCCCCTGTGGCAGTGGGTTGCCATGGGCTACCGTATGTAGCCAGCAGCCAGCGTGAGCGGCCAGCAGCCGCAGTGAGCGGCCGTCCAGAAGCCGGCAACTGATCTGCCTCCACCGGGAAGAGCGCAATGATGGTGCCAACTTGGGCCAGTGAAGCCACGTTCTCCACAACTAGACTGAAGAACAAAAGGACAGCAACTTGTCTGTTCCCCTTCCCCCAATTCCCCAGCACTGTTCCCATCCCCCAATTCCCCAATAAAAATCTTTAAAAAAAAAAAAAGAAAGAAAAACGTGATAAAAGTTGCTGGAGCTCCAAGTAGTGGACGGGGTGATTGACTCGTGGCTTCCTTTTAAGAGGGATTAAACAGGGAGCTATCTGCCACACCAGACTCTCAACTGCTGGAACGCAATGCTCTTTTATTTGGAGCATCTAACTATCTCTACATAAGGACTTTTTAATTATTTGCTGGGAGATAAGCCCCTCACTGTTGGATATTCTGCAGTTGGGGAGGCAGGTAGAAAGCAGGGGGTGTACACTGCACTTCCTACTGACTTCATCAGTTGATTTTCCTGATTTCTGCCCCTCATCTCATTTTTGCCATCTTTGTTCCTGGCATTTTTGAGCCCTGAAGTTCCAACTTGGGTTAAATCCAGTATCCACTTCTCCATCCATTTTCTGGCTTCTAGAAATTAGCTGAAATTTCTCATCTGTGGCTGGCTCCTCCGCCTTTCTCTCTGTTGTAAATTTTATTCTTTTAAAATCATTTTAGTGAGATCTCAGAATGGATAATAGATGATTTGTGGTCAGTCTACAATCAACCTCCATGGCTTTTTTTTCTTTTTCCTTTCATTTTTTGCTTAGGGCCATATCTTGCAATATGCTTTTGCAAGGGACATTATATTATATAGTTTGGGACCTTGGAATGAATTTCTTTAGCTCTAGGAAAAACATTTGTCTCTCCGGATGAACTGGTATATTTCCTTTGAATGGACAATGAAATTTAGGCAACTTTCTGTGTTTCCTTTTTTGATCCTGCTGCCAAGATGCTCAGAGCTATGTTTTAACTCTAATCCTAACTCTTCAGGGGTATATATATTTTGTCTTCCATGAAATCATCTATTTTTCTTTAACAATCACACACATATATGTGTGTGTGTATATATATATATATATACACACACACACACAAATACATATATACATATATACATGCATACACAAATACATATATATATTATTGTTAGCTACCTTAAATTCTTTTGTGAGATATATAGCTAATTTTTTATATCACCCTTCCTCCCAGTTGACAGTTCCTTGGAGGCAATCACTCCTTAAATTTTTTGTTTGTTCTTTTCAGGTTGATCTCTTTCTTTCCTAATATTTCACATCACTTGGATTTTGTGCAAGAGGGTTTAGTCTTAGATGACCCCAGAGCAACCTCCCAATTCTAATGGAACCTGAGTCCAGGTGTCTCTTACTTCTTGAACTGGGCAAAGAAGAACACATATCTGTGAATTATCTCCCTACTAGACTGAAGAGCAGGAACCAGGCTTTCCGCATCTCCGCCCCATCTCAGGGAGCTTAGTGGTTTGAAATTAATCCTGGTGAGCTCGGCCTCTGGAACCCAGGACCACTGACTCAGGACGGGCACAGAGGCCTACTGGTCTGGGGAAGTCCAGGAGGCAGGCAAGTGTAGTACATGCCATTACCTCTTGGTTAACTTCCCGCTTCTCCCAATTCCTTCTCAACCATGAGTTCCTGTCCCTTCTCTTAAGCTTGGTAGGTGTGTGTATATGTGGGGGTGGTTTGGGTGAGGACATGCCTTAGAGTCAGAGGACTTTATGTTATTTATATTGCTGTATATTCTTGGTGGACAAGTCAGCCTCTCTGACCCTCAGTTTCCTCATTTGTTAAGTGGGGATAATGGCAGGGGGTGGCTGAAAGAAGGAAGAGAGTTAGTATATATACAAGGTCCAGAAACCTGCTTGATAGTTGTTAGTGGAGCAGACTGTTCATTCCCCAGCCTCTATGCCCCATACCATCCCCCTTCTGCACGCCCGCCCTACTGTCCCCAGCCTTACTGAATCAGTTCCAGCACCCGCCGCTTCATGGCACGGACCAGGTCCCGCTGCCCTCCAAGCTCCTCCTCATACATGGCATCCCTCTTTTCAATCTCCTGTTGCTTCTGCTCCAGCTCTGCCTGCAGCTGGGCCCTCTCTTCCTGACACCTGGGCACAGAAAGAAGACAAAGTTCTGAGGAGAAAAAGCTCAGCATTTGACTGAGCTGGGCTGGGTTTCTGCCTGACAGAGAGCCCCTAGAACAGCGGTTCTCAACCTTCCTCATGCTGCGACCCCTTCATACAGTTCCTCGTGTTGTGGTGACCCCCAACCATCAAATTATTTTCGTTGCTACTCTATAACTGTAATTTTGCTACTGTTATGAATCGTAATGTAAATATCTTTTTGTTTTCCAATGGTCTTAGGTGACCCCTGTGAAAGGGTCGTTCGACCCCCAAAGGGGCTGCGACCCACAGGTTGAGAACCGCTGCCCTAGAAGAAGCTGATGGTGCCCCCTACAGCTGAAGTCCACACACACACACACACGCGCACACCCACACACACACACACACACACTCACACACTCATACGCACAATCACAACACATACAACACACACACCACACTATACATAAACACACACCATATGCCAAATACACCACACACACCACATGACACACACACACTCACAACACACCATACACACCACACACGCCACACACATACACACCACACACACACCACACACACGCCACACACACAACACAACATACACCACACACTGCATTCCACACACCACACACACATATTATATCCACCACACACACTCACATCACACCACATGCACTACATACCACATACACTTATAAAACACCACACACACTCTCAACACAACACACAACCCCCCCCCCACATACAACACCACACACGAAACTGAGCACTGTGTGGATTCACACCTATAGGCTGATTGCTCACTAATTATTCAGAGAAATGAAAACAGGGCCTAGTCTTGTGTATTCCTTTAGAGGAGATGAACCAACATTTCTGTTTGTTTTCTTTGAAAAAATCTTTCCATTTTAAAATGTAGATTTCTTGAAAGGCATGCTCACAATCACGGCAGCTCTCTGGGGGAAGGTGGGTATCCAGCCCAGGCTGGACAAGCTGTGCCCAGAGGAAAACAACTGTGGTGCTTGGGGAAGCGGTGTAAGTGGTGTAGAACAGGGGCTAATTTTCTGGCTTTAAAATATTTTGAAAAATTATGTTACATTGTCTTTTCAATGAAAAGAAAAAGTAATATTAAGCATATGGCTTTCTTAAATTGCTGATTCAGATTTGGGCTTGAAATCTCCTCAGCTTTATTCTTGCCTCTTCTTTTGGTCTTGAGTGGCTTCCTACAAGGTTCCAAGACATCTACTAGACTGGAGATAAAGGGTCCCAACCTCTTACTCCAACGCTCAGACGGGAGGGTGTTGTGATGGTGATGCGCGTGCATGCCCAGGACCCTGGGACTGAGTGTGTTTAGGGGGAAGGAGAAGCTTGTGAGAGGCTTGACAATGAATTGAATGATTAATTTTTAAAACGCTGCCATGTGGCATGCTGTAGGGAAGAAAACCGGGTGGGCTATGACATAAAACCGACAACAGATAGCCATTGGAATTCCGAAAAGGCCAGTCCCTGCAGCCTTAAGAAAGAGTGTTTTTGTGCTCAGGCCTTGGATCAGAGCCATGTTTTGACTTTTAATGATCATTCTAGCCTTTAGCTTCCTCATTTCTCAGCTGCTGATTTCATTTTTCTGGGCCAGTTTACTTGCCCAGTGATCCCAAGGCCTCTGGGGTGGCCAGTACAGGCCTTAAGATGATCAGATCACAATGGTTAGCATATGTCTTTGTGGTGGGAGGAAATATTTGTTAAGCACCTACTGTGTGCCAGAAATGGAGCAGTGCCTATGGCTCCTGGTGGAGCTTATAGCATATTTGGGGCAGTGGTCAAAACAATAAAATGTAGTGATAGACCAATAAAACAATTAAGCTAAGTATATGACAGAGATAAATGAGGGGCTGAGACGGAGGCTTGAGAGGGCAATCAGGGAAGGCTTCTTAGACAAGGTGACATTGAAGCAGATCTAAAAGATAAGAAGTCAGCCACGTACAGCCATAGGCAGGCATGTGGAAAGGTCTGCAAGTTGGAAAGAGCTTGGCTTATTTGAGGAACTGAAAGAAGCCTAATGAAGTTGGAATACCATGAATGGCAGGGGTGGGGGAGGCAGGAGATGAAGTGAGAGATAGGCAGGGCCTGGTCTGTTCCTCAGTGGCCCCAGGAGGAATGGACTTTAATCTCAGCGCAATTAAGAGGAAGCCACTGGGGTATTTTAAGTAGGGGGTGACAGGCACTCTTAGTGTAGGAGGGGACAAGGAAGGAATTAAAGTCTATTGAGCACCTACTATGTGACAGGCACTGAGCTTAGTGCTTTAACAGTCTCATTTCATTTAATTTTCACAAATTTATGGGACAGGAGATACGATAATGATTTTATAGGAAACAAAATGGAGCTTCAGGGAGGGAGTAACTCTTGCCCAGGGCCCCACAGAGTGATCAGTGGAGGGAGCAGAGACTGGGGTGCAGGCCTGTTCACCTCTAATCTCCTTTGGCCTCCCTACACCTGCATCCATACTGAGTCCTGATCACCAGTGGTTGGTGGCACCAGCGCTGAGAGGGCAGCAAGTGGGTGCAACGAATGGATGCTCACAGCACCTGGCATGCTTCCAAGGAGCTCCGTGCTGCCACCCAAGGAGGGAGGCGGTGGGGATGTGACATTTCCCTAATTCCCCATCTGAGGACCTCTTCCATTCGTACCTGTCCTAATAGCTTTTGTACTGAGGTATTACCCAGAGGGCAGACGAAACCCACCCACATGGGAAGAAGGTCTCACAGAGCATCTGAGTTAGAAGGAGGAACTTTAGAGATCCAACCATCTCCTTTTGCAAATCAGGGCCCTGAGGTCAGAGAGGGAAGGCTGTTTTCCTAGGGCCGCACAGCCAGAAAGCTGGGAAGTGGGTGTTGGCAGTCCCATGTCTCAGTTTTAAGTGTATTTTCACAGCCTAGGCTGATCTGCTCTGGGCCCTGTGGCCTGGATGGTCTACTGTGTCCTCCCTATGCACCTAGCCTAGGGCTCTGTACCCATGCCCTCTCTCAGTCTACTCTGCACAGCACAGCCAGAGTGATCTTTTACAGCCTAAGTCAGACCATGAGACTCATGCTCAGACTGCTCTAGCCTCCCACAGCACAGGGGCTCTCCCTTTGCTCCAGCCACATGGCAGTCTTGTCCCCAAGAGCACTTCTCCTGGGCTTTCTCATCTGCTGGTTTCCTGCCTGGACCACTCTTCCAAGATATCTGCCTGGTTCAGCTTTGCTGTGGTTGGGACTTCTGCTCACCTGTCACCTCCTCAGAGATGGCTTCCCTGACACCAAATCTAGAAGAGTCTCTGGTGTCTCTCTCTCCCTGCTTTCCTGGATTGATTTTCCCCAGGGCCTATGACTACCTGACACCAATATTCGTAATGGTTGATCTATTTTCTATCTTCTCAGGTCTGTGAGAGCAGACATGGCCTGTTCTGGTCACTGCTGTCCCCCCCCCCAGCCCCTTACCCCCCATGGCATAGTAGAGTCACAATAAATATTGTCGACTGACTGAATGGGCCCCATGACACTTCTGTTTGCCGGTGGTGAGACACCTGTCACCAGTTTGATGCCCACGGCCCCTTTTCCCGAGTCAGGTGTTTGTCCTAAGTTCCCTGACGCTGGGAGCACAGTCTCCCAGCCTTAAGAGCTTCCGTTATTCACCATCAGCACTTCAGTGACTCCCCAGCAGGCCCCCAGCGCATGCCTCTCTCCTCAGCTCCACACTCAACTGCCCGTCCAATGGCTCCTCTTGAGTGTCTAACAGGTGTCCCACACGTATCAGGCTCAAAACCCAACTCCTGCTTTTCCCCACACACCTGCTCTGCCCCAGCAGTGGGTTAGTGGTGACGCTAGCTTTCCAGGCCACAGACCTTGGAGCCATTCTTGACATCTGTCTTTCTTTCAGACCCCGTATCCAATTCGTCAGGGAGCCCGGCCTCACAGTTGATCCAGAGTGATCAGCTTCTCTGCACCTCCACTGCCTCCAGTGCAGTCGGAGGCACCATCGCCTTCCCCTGCACGGTGGGGTAACTACCTCACTCGTCTCCCTGCCTCCACCTTTGCTTCCCCACAGATTAATTTTACAGAGCAGTGAGTGTGATCCCTTGAAAACATGGGTCAGTCCAGAATCGGCACATCTCTGGAGACAGGAAGTAGATTGGGGGTTGCTTATGCTGGGGAGGTTGGGAGGAAATGGGCCCTGACTGCTAGCGGGTACAGGGTTTTTCTTTGGGGTGATGAAATGTTTTAAAATTGATTGTGGTGATTGATGCGCAACATTGCGAATACACTAAAAACCACTGAAATGTTTAAAAAAGCAAATAAACATATTTTTAATGTTAAAACAATCACGTCATGTCCCTTCTCTGCTCAGAGCTCTCAATGGTTCTCATCTCTGAGTTAAAGCCAAGGAGGTCCTTTTGATGACCTACCAGGGTCTCCATGACCTGGTTCCTGTTACCCTCTTGACTGCTCTCTACATCCTCCCCTTCCTTCACCCCACTGGGGACATAAGGGCCTCCTGGATGTTCCTAGAGCCTGCCATGGCCGTTCCCACTCACCTCAGGGCCTTCTCTTGTTCCCCTGCCTGCAGCATTCTGCTACCACATATCCAAATGGCTCAGGCCTCACTTCCTTCAGATCTTTACTCAAATATCACCCTTTTAGGGTCTTCCCTGACCATGCTACCTTCTAGAATATCACCCCCCTGACACTTCCTATTCCCTTTCCCTACTTTATTTTTTTTTCTCCTTAGAACTTATCACAATCAGACATTCTATGTATTTTACTTGCTTATCACATTACTGTCTCCCCCACTAGAATGGGAGCTCCACAAGGGAGGGAATTTTGTCTGTTTTGCCCACGAGATGGTTTCTGCCACATAGAACAGGCCTGGCCCAGAGCGGGTACTCTGAGTATTTGTGGAATGATGAAAGATGGACAGGATGACAGATGGAGGATGGCAATCTGTGAGATAGGGCTCTCCAGCTGCAGAGAGCAGCCTGGGGCCGGGTGTGTCCCTGGAGCCTCCTAGCTGTGCCCTCCAGTCTGTCTGATCCCTAGAGAAAGCCCTTGGGTGGGCAAGGCCCTTGCATCCACTTAGGGCCTGAATCGTGGGACTCTTTGCTGACCAAACTGCTGGGGTCAGCTGAGTGTCTGGTGGGAGGAGATCTGGGGGCTTTGGGGGTTGGTTTCTGGACCCCTGGCCTCTCAGCCTGTTAAGCAGACAGTCAGTAGACTGTCCTGTGATTCAGTCTGAATCACAGCTACCCAAGCTCTGTTGGGGGTTGGCTTGGTGCCCTCTGGGTCTCGTGGCAGGGCACGTAGGAGAGACAGAGGCAGGCGGGCAGACTGAGTCGTACAGACACCAAGGGACAGAGACACAACGAGACTGAATCAAACCAGAGAAGATCTTGGCATGGTGGCAATATATTAAAAATAAATTATGAAAGAGAAACTGAGGCTCTGAAAGACTGAGGAGGAAATGTAGACAGAACAATGTGCTCTTGAGGTTAATGGGATGATGGGAAGATGAATATGCTGATGGTGAGAGATGCTGAGATGCTGAGGGGGAGAGACCAAGAGATTGAAATATAGGCACTGGAAATATTGGCTGAGGGGGAATGTTTCGGCCCACTGTTTTCAGAGTAAGCTGCCAGGGTTTGGATCTCAGCTGTTCTACTGAAATGCTGGGTGAATTGTGTAGCATCTTCGAGCCTTAGTTTCCTCACCTGTAAAACGGCGGCTCTTAGAGAACCTATCTTAAAAGGCTGTTATGTGGAAGCACCTAGAACAGTGCCGGGGATGTTGTAAATGCTCAGTAAATGATAGTTATGATTATGATTATCAAGTGGGTGAAAGAGAGGTTGTGCAACCAGGAACAGGAAAATGAGAGACAGCGGAATAGAAGGAGACTGAAAGAGATAGCAGGGCAGGCGTGTGGTGGGGCCGGGAGGGAGAGTGCACTGCAAACAGAGAGGAACAGCTCAGAGGACACAGCAGAAAGGGGCAAAGATTGGTATGGGAGAGAAGGGAAGGACAGGAGGCATAGATCTCTCTTGGGGGTTACTGGGGAGGCATGTGAAGGAGGGGGCTGGCAAGGGGGAGGGGAAGGTGGCAGCCCTTGAGAGAAGAAACAATGCCCTGTATGCCTCAGCATCCTACAGTTGTGCCCTGTTCAGGGCCTGGTGCACAGGAGGTGCTCAGAAGATGCTTGCTGACCTTGAATGCCAGCAGGAGTCAGGGAGCACTTCCTGTCCCTCCAGCCTCCTTGCTTTCACTGCCCCTGTGTGCTAATGGTTGCCAAGGTTACCTGCTGAGCTGCTCCTGCAGTGCCTTCAGCTCCCCCTCCTGCTCCTTCAGCAGCTGCTCCTGGTGTTGGGCCTGCTCCTTGGCCTTTTGGAGCTTATGTCTGAGGCTCTGGGGGAGGGATGGAGAGAAGGAAGGGAGAAGGAAGCTGAAGAAGGGGGCAGAGACCCCAGTCCAGGGACCGACACCCCCATAAGACCTCAGGCCATGCAAGACAGCTCTAGGGTGGAGGGTAGGACTGGGGACAGTGCTGGGATATGTGACACCTGGCGCTGCCCCTGGGTGAGCCTGGATCCACCATTCCTTTCTTTATTGAGGGATGGACGTTACAAAGCTCAGGGGCATGAAGACTCTGGTTAGGGAGGAGGCTGGAGAAGGCTTGAAAACAATCCTGGGTGACCTCCAGGAGGAGCATCTACAGCAGAGCAACTAGGTGGGATCTGCAACAGTAGAACTTAGATACTGGGGAGAAACCTGCTAATAAAGAGGGCTATGGAAGCTCAGAACAAGCAACTTCCCCGAAGAACTTTTGGGAAGGGAACTCAAACTCAAATGCACACAGGGGCTAGGCAGATAGTATTGATGAATAATGTGGTGGGCCTGGTGTCAGACAATAAGGAGAGATGGGGACTGTGGTAAACTGAGGAAGGCAAAGCTTTCAAAAGACACCCTCAAATAATAATAATCCTGTGCGGGCCAATAAATATTAATCTGTGAGTTGGAATGGTCCCCAGGATACCCCTAAAGACGCCCGTCTATGGGGCCAGTTTAGAGAGGGGAGAACAGACAGGTACAGAACTTAACTGCTCTCACCTTGACCACATCCTGCAGGGCCACATCTGCTTGCTCCTCCCTCCTGGTCACACTGGTCATTCCTGTTTGCTCTTGTGGCATCTCTGTGGTGGAGCCTTCCTTTGTTCCTAGGCTCTGAAGGACGTGGGGCTCCCCCAGGATGCTAGGCACCTCCCACTCCCACCTGCTCACGGACATCGCATCCTCTATCATCCCTCTAGGGCCAGAGGCCAGCAGCCTCTGGACATGATCCCACTCTGCTTCCCCTTCACGAGTCCCCTTTGTTTTTGTCTGGCTTTCTGCACTCAGCACAACCCCTCTGCCCTCACCTTCCATCCTTATCACCTTCTTCAGAGCCCACTTGGCCCCCTCCTCCTGGCCCTTGATGTTGGGTGTTGAGTTCTCCAGGCTGATCCCCATCCTTGGGGCTCCCAACTCCTTGTCTTGTTGCAGCTCTTCCCCTTCTTGTTCCCACATGCTCTGGGGGGCCCTGAGGCTCCTGAGATCTTCTCTCTTCTTTTCCAAAAGGGGAGGAAGATGCCTGTGTTGCTGTGACCTGGGGAGTCCAGCCAATCCGTCTTCCCCTGGTGCATCTTGCAGACAGCGGGCTTGGCTGGTGTGTGGCTCCTCTGGTTGGACTCCTTTGGAGTACGCATCTACAGCTGAGATCTGCGGAGAAGTCCCCAAACCCATCATCATCATCCTTCTCTGTACCAATACACCGACCTGGTGCATGAGAGAGGCCACAGCCCTAATGCAATGGGCTTGCTAAATATATGGATTCCTGGGCCCTCCCACTGGAAATGCTGATCCAGCAAATCTGGGGGAAGGCCCAGGAATCTGAATGTTAACACCCCAGGTCATGTGATCGGAGGCCGGAGCTTTGATCTTGTCCGGGAGCCACAGTGCTTCTCAATGCCCTTTCCTTCCTCACCTCTGGCCGGCATCTTTCTCCCTCCTTCACGTCTATCTTCTGCGTGGACCTGGATTCCCCTAAGTTCTTCCCTTCCCCCTAAACTTGACTTTTTGGTGTTTTCTTGTTTGCAAAATGGGAATAATAATGTCTGTCTTGTCAGGTTGTGGTAAAAGCTTTGGTAGACTGACAGCCAGCTAAGAGTCACCTCTGCCATGAAGCCTTCTCTGCACCCTGCGTTCCTCTGTGCATGCCTGCATCACTGCACTTCACATGTCGTGTTGCAGTGTGTTCCTTATAGGGTCTGTCTCCCTGAAGACCTGGAACTCTTTCAGGTCAGAGACTGAGTCCTCATAGTATTTGTACTTGGTGCCTAGAATATGGTGGGGGTGCAAAGTGAGCTCGTGGAACGATGGTAACTGCAAGCTACCACTTACTGAGCACGTGGCAGAAGCCTGTCTCTGTGCTACACAGGGTCTGTGTCAATGCATCCTCATAATCTCCTCGTGAAGCATGACAAGTCACTTGCCCGAGGATAGTGGTTATGCAGGGGGTGGAGCTGGGATTTGAACTAGGTGATGTCCCTCTTTAATTGCTCCCTGAACTGAGCTGAGTTTGCAAATTGTCCAGCAGAGGTTATTTCCCTGGTCTGTTTCCTACAAGCTTTCTGTCAGCCTCCCAAGCACCTCCTCCTCCTTTGAGTCCCGCTGACTTCTGCAGGTGGCGTCAGCTGTCCCTTTCTCTCCGTGATACCCTCACCATTTTAGGAATATGAACCTTCACTTCTGTGGCTACCCAGTCCCCAGGTCCACATTTTGGCCTTCCTCTCTGTCCATTTGGGTTAGGGCTCAGTTACTGTTCAACCTGGGGGGTCCCAGCAGAGATGGAGAAGAGGCAACTCAGAGTGAAGGTCAGGCAGAAGCACCTCCTTTGGGGAATCTTTGGTCTTTCTGGGTCTTCTTCCCAGTGTCCAGCTGGAATTGGAGCAGCGGGACCTGAAAGTGAAAGGGTCAAGGGGACCCTGGGCCTCTTTCCAGCAGTGGCCTTGGTCTTCAGATGCAGGATATCCCATCTTTCCAACCGCCATTCATCGTATCACCTTTCCCACCGTCCCGCCCCCTCACCTTCATGCATTCATCCCCCTCTCCATCCATCCATACATCGCACCTTCCATTCATCCATCCACTCCATCCCAATATCCCACTATCCATTAATCCTTCTAACCTTCAGACCCAGCCACCCAACACCTCTTTAGTGAATATGTATTCTATGCAGCATCACGGGACATCATGAGATTACACTGGGAAAATAGAAGCTAAGGAGGTGGAGAATTGGGGGCTCACAGAGCAAGAGAGGCGGGAGAAATGGATGGGGCTGGAGGCTGAGAGCTTGGGGCTAGCTCGGGATGGGTGGTGGCACTGGCAGCAGGCATGAAAAGAGGCTCCTCTCCATGCTGCACCCACTCACTCTGAGAACATGGGCCAGGCACCATCCAGGTCTGGCCTCTCCAGGTCCAAGTCGAAGGCCACTCCATTGAGAGCATAGAGAGAGTCCAGGATGTCTTCCCGGAGTTCGGGGCACACCAGAGGGCTCCGTGGGCCATACCATTCCCTGTGTGAACAGTGATCAGTACTCTTGGCCTTTGGCCCTGGTGCTGTTGCCACCCTCGACCTCAGAGAATCCACCTCCCCTGCACACCAAAATGGGATGGTTCCCCAGGCAAGGCTGTGGCCCTTGGAGAGCAGGAGGCCTAAGCATCATGACGATACCAGGACTGGGGTTCTAACTTCCCCTCTGCCCTTTCCTCCTTGACTTTCCCTTTATGACTCTCATTTTAGTCAACCTTGATATTAAACCGTCCTTCTGGGGGTCAAGAGGGATCTTTCAAGAAGGAGGGACAGTAGGCTCTGATGGTATAAGTAGCAGCGTGTCCCAGCAGCCCCACCTGGTGAGCTCTGGGTTCAGGAGGCAGAGCTGCAGGGACTCGGCCAGCTGTCCGTGAGCTAGGCAGAAGCGGATGAAGGCCCGGCCTTTTCCCAGAGAGGTCTTCAACTGCAGAGTGCACAGGGGGCAAAGTGGGGGGTGGTGTTAGGACACAGGGAACTCAGCCATCCCAGAGGGAGAGATGGTGGGAACAGCTGGTTGATGAGAAAGGGTATCATGAGACTTAAGGCTATGGGGGGAAAGGGGGTGGCTGGAGGGGTGCTGAGGGCAGGCCTAATGAGAGATGAGGACTGGGCGAGAGGGTCTATGGTCGGTGGAGCTGGGATGGGTGAGAAGGGGGCCTCGGGCAGGCCTGTGTCCTCTAGCCCCCGAGCCATCCCTGTCACAGGCCTGCTGATCATGCTGAGGCCAGCTTGGGTACCTTGCCCTGCGAGTGGACGAAGCGAGCTGGCTCCGTGTTCCCCCGTTGCCGCCACAGGGCCGAGCAGAGGAAGTCCCAGTAATCCTTCCGAGACCCCAGGAAGCTCTTCTGCTCTTTCTGGTCAAACTGGGAACAAGAAAAGGGAAAGGAAGCGTAGAAATGCTTCCTTCTAGCACCCACCTGTGCTCCAGCATGCTGAGTGGGCACGTGGGAAAGGGGAAGGGGCTGGTACAGACAGACCTGGCTTCGGGTCCCAGCCCTCACTGGCTGTGGAGCAGGAGCAAGCTGCTTGACCTCTCTGAGGCTTCAGTGTTTTCCTCATTCATTTCAGAAATACTTATTGAGAATTTACTATGTGCCAGGCCTATTTCTAAGTCCTGGGGATACAGCAATGAACGAACTGGCCTTATGGCTTACATCTTGGTAGGGGAGACAGACGATGAACAAACTGAATAAGTAAAACATATACTATGTTAGATAGTGCTGACTGCTGAGGAGAAAAATAAAACAGAGAAAGGGAATAGAAAGTATGGTGTGTGTACATGTGATGTGTGTGTGTGATCTGTATGTGTGGGGTGTGTGTGATATATGTCTGTTAAAAATTTAGATTAGGGTGGCTAGAGAAAGTCTCACTGAGAAGGTGCTATTCAAGTCCAGATCTGAAGGAAATGAGAAAGTCTACTATCCAAATTTCTAGGGGAAGAGCATTCCAGGCAGAGAGAGTAAGTGCAAAGGCCCTGAGGTAGGTGTATTCCTGGTGTGCTTTAGGAGATCAAGGAGGCCAGTGTGAGGAGGGCAGCAGATAAAGGGCCGGCTGGCAGGTGACTCACATATGCATACCACATACACATACCACACACACATAAACCTGACACACACACACCCATACCTCTCCCATACCCCCCCCACACACAATCAGAGAAGTAGGATGGATGTGTTTGTGCGTGCGTGCGTGTGTGTGTGTGTGTGTGTGTGTGTGTGTGTATGTGTGTGTGTGCAGGTTATCAAACACCTCAGGGAGTTAGAATGAGAATTAAATAAGGTGGGCTTAGCCTGGCATGTAGTAAGTACTCAGTAAAAGCTAGTGATAGTGATGATCTGGGCTCTAACCAGCAGCAAGGAGGGCTAGTCCTAGGACATCTGTGCCTACGAAACTTTAGTCTTCTGAGCAGGGTGGCTACCTCCTGCCCAATCCCACCCTGTCTCAGTCTTGGCCCACTCACCTCACCGCCCCCCAGGCTACAATGACAGCCTCCATGAGTGAGATTAGCTGTCATGAGGCAGTGCATGGTAGCAAAGGGAGGCCGTGGCTTTTCCCTCAGTATCTGGGAAAGCCCTCCTGGTTATCTGGGCCTGGGGAGAGGGGAGGGGAGAGGGGAGGAGGGCCCCACTTGTAGCAGCAGTTCCAGGCAGCCACAGAGTCTGTGCAGCTCAGCGCTTGCGTCTGTCACCGACTGCCTGCCCCCATAGCCCTGGAGGATGGCGGAGACAGCAGCTGTGGGGAAGATGGTGGACATCAGACATCAGGGAGTGAGGGTTCTGAGGAAGAGGCTCCCAAGACCCCTCACTTCTCCCCCAGTTCAGTCCCAGAAATTCTCTCAGGACACACTCACTTTTCAGGTCCCTGGTGATCTTGAGGGCAGCCCTCTCTTCTGCCATGAGTATTTGAAAATGGTGTGATTTCTTGTAGCTCTGGAAGGTCAGCCTAGGAGAAGGGAGCCTCTGGGTCCAGCTGCCCAGTTCTTTCCTTATGCGAAGGGAAGCATCAGAACCTAGAGAAAGAATGCAATATTTCTAGGGTCACAGTGAGTTAATCGGTGGGAAAAAAACCCCTCAGCTCTTTCTTACAGGCCACTGCGGGGAGATAATGGTGTGGCCCCTACTTATGGAGCAGTTCCTGGGTGTCCGGCATCTTTGTCTCATTCAGTCCCCACAACAACCTTAGGAGATGATTAATTCCATTTTATACAAGGTGAAAGAGGGGCTCAGAGAGGGTAAGTCTTTTATCCAATGTCACAAAGCTAGAATTTGAACTCAGGTCTGTGTGCCCACAGGGCCTGCTCTCTCAGCCCTGACTTGATGTGAGTGGCCCCGTCAGTGCTCATGCCACGTGGATGCTGGGCTGAGGGAACGTCACCCTCTTCCCCATGGGGAGCCTTGCCAGAGCATCCTTGAGACACACATTCTCATCCTTTCCTGGGCCCCAGCTGAGTGGAAAATGTGTGTTCTTTGGGGAGAGGGAGACAGAAGTGAGGCAGGCCCTGGAGCTGGGACTGAGCTTGAATGCTGGTGTGTGTGGGGAGCAGGGCACCTGGCTTGAATCCTGCCATTCTCAGCCAGTTGAATCTCAGCTTGTTCTCCCCGTCCCCCAAGTGGGTCCTGGGGCTCAGAGAGGAATATTTGGGGCCAGGGGGCTTATTCTGAGATTCCGGAGAATGGGGTAGGAAACCCAGGTGTCCTGCTTCCCTGGCTGTGGTTGTTGGGAGCGGGTGGGAGTGAAGAAACAGTGGGGCGCAGCGGAGGGGACAGGAGCGGACAGTAAGTAAGGGAGGGTGGGTGGGGTATGGCGTTTAGGGGACACTGAGCTGGGACTCAAGGGACCTGGGTCTCCATCCTGGTCCTGTAACTCCCCATGTGACCTTGGGCACATCATTCACCTTTCTTGGGCCTCAGTTTCCCCATCTGTATACAAAGCGTTTAGACTTAGGGTCTCTGAAGTCCCGTCTAGCCCTGACTGTCCATGAAATCCATGAATACCTATATGCATCTCCTCCTGTACCTCATATTCATCCAAATTCCTTGGCCTCTCGCTCCTGGCATCACTTCCCTTCTCCAGCCTCCCCCAGACCCTGGAGTCTTCCTCTACTCACCTTGAAAGACCTGGCTGGTTGGGGCATGGAGAGCGGGCACTGCAGCCTGCGAGTCCACCACTTGTGACTATGGGCTCTGCACAGCCTTTCCCAGAGTTTGCTGCCTGGGAGGTGAGTCAGGCAGGCCCAGCCCAGCACCCTGGATGGGAAACCGTGCTCATAGGGGAAGGAACAGAAGGCTGCAGGGGAGGAGTGGCAGCAACAAGGTCAAGGGCACCAGGGCAGCATGGGTGAGATGGGGTAGGTTCACTTGTGGCGCTTCATGTGGGCAGGGTGCGGAGAGTGGCGATCTCTGCTGTGACGGTTTCCTTCCCTTTTCAAGGCCACTTGCTCTTGTCTTTCTTCCTTATTGCCACGAGGTGGCACAAACAGGCTGGGATGCTGCCCCATCAGCTACTCTGCCAGGTTTTACTGTCACCTGGTTAGAGTGTGATACAGGTGGGGAGGGGAGGACAAGGGTCCCATCGCGGGTCTCTCTCCTCCACCCTACCTCAGTCTTCTGAGGGGGTCCCCATGAGTTCTGGTCACCAGTGCCATCCCCATGACTGATGCTCAGCCCTAAAAGTTGGGAAGTGACCACTGGTGAGATGCTGTATCCAGGAGTGGGCCAGTGGCCCTTCCACCCTGGCTGTGCTCTGCCTCCTTGAAGCTGGGGACTTTCCATCGCCTGCATCTCGGTTTTCTAGGCTGGGGAGCCCCACGGGCTAGTACTGGGGACCTAGAACAGAGAACAGTTACCCAAAAGGACTACAGCTTCACAAACTCTAGGAAGCGCATGTGAACAAACCCTGGCATGCGCCTGGCTCTGCCCTCCGGCGCGACTCCTGGCCTGTCTCTTCCTCTCCGGGAGTTGGTCTCCCCTGTGCAAAGACTCCATCTCTCATCTCTGTCCCTGGCGTCCCTGTATCCCCGTCGCTCCCTCATTAGTTCCCCTTATCTGCTTCCTGTCTCTTTCCTCGCGCCGTCGGTCTCTTTCTCGCTCTCCCAGATTCAGCCGATCCGCCGCCCCGGTCTCCGGGACCCCACCGCCTCCGCCTCCCCGCGCCCCCCACCCCCGGGTCTCCCTCTGTCACTGGCTGCGTCAGGGCGCCCTTGTCACCGCCCCTTGCCGGGCCCTCACACCCCCTGCTTCCTGGCAGTGCCGTCAGAGAAGGCTCCGGGAGGGGACAGGCTGGGGGCATTGCCACCCCCCTCCAGACGTCCCAGGCGCCCTGGGCTGGGGGGCGGGCCAGCTCTCTGGGCGCCCGCGTCCCCGCCCCCGGCCCCGGTCCCGGCCCGCCGGGCGCCCGGCCGGATGGGCTGCACGGTGAGCTTGGTGTGTTGCGAGGCACTGGAACCCGGGCCCCCCTGCAGTCCCCAGCCCCCCGGGAGTCCCCCGGCCCCGGCGCGGGCCCAGGGCTGGGAACCCGGGGCTTCGGCCCGCGCCGAAAGCAAGCGGCTCCTGCTTCAGGTAGGGCGCTGCGGGGATGGGTGTGGGGAGAGGGTAGCAGGCAGAGCCCAGCTCACCTGAGACAGGTAGGGAGCCACGCCAGAAAAGTGTCCGTCAATGATCGGGGGGTGGGCGGCTGCCCCAGGGGAGTGGGTTGAACTAGGACCAGGCGAAGGCACAGAGAGTTAGGCTGAGAGGTCTCACCTGCTTCTCTGTGCCCTTGGGAGGAGATTGATATAGGACCTGACCCTTAAAAGGCTGAATAGTTCAGATGAGGTTTAGGAGCCACCCAAGAGGGGCAGGGCTGGAAGTGCTGGGGAAAGGCACTGAAAGTGTTAATTTCCCCTGAGCTGGTCCAGGAGTTTACTGTGTGTTCCTCCCGGAGCTGCTGTGGCTGTTGTCTCTGACCAGGGCTCTGTAGCCAGGAGGGAGGGGGCCTTCTGAGGCAGGGAGGACCCCACCAGAGCAAGGACTGACCTGAAGATGGTGGGGGCAGCTGGACCCTCACTCCTGCAGTCTCTGTTCTGGGTAAGTCTCGGAGCCTTGTGAGTGGGAAATTGACCCAGAGGGGTGGTGATAGGCCCGTGCTGGGAGGCAGGTGTTTGTTCTGGAAGAGGTGTCTGTCCAGGAAGCACCAGGCCTGGTCCAGGTATGGGCACTGGGTTTCTCCCAGGAGGAGGAAAGGGAGATATTTGAGGTCATTAGAGGCTGTGTAACCTTGCTTTAGGCTCCAAGGGTAATCCCAGCCTGCTTCCCTGTTTGGGGGCTATGAAAGCTGCAGCCTCCTAAGATTTGTTTGCTGTGCGAGGTTTGGATTATGCTCGTGTCTCGTATCTCTCCACCTGGGTACACAGAGTTAGGGAGGCTCAAAATGTACCTGGTGCCATATCCCAGACCCTTTCTCCCTCTCCATTGGGGGCAGCCAGTGAATCCGTGTGTGTGTGTGTGTGTGTGTGTGTGTGTGTGTGTGTGTGTCCGTGTCCAAAGTGATCCCTCTGCCCCACTTGACTGAATGTCCCCCAGGGTGTGGGTTATGGCATATTCTTGGGTGTACTCCACAGTGCCAGGCAAAGGGCTGTGCTTATAAATGAAACTCTTCATCCTTCCTAAGTTCCAGCCCAGGTCATCACCACGGTGACAGACCATACTGAGGGACAAGCTTGGGGCATGGGGTGTATTTGCTGACTGAGCCCTTGCAGTGGCCGGTGTCCCAGGTGTTATTCTGACATAGCCCTGAGCCTTGCTTAGGGCCCTGGGTGGGGGGTAGGGTGAGGCTTGGGCATGTTGGCTGGTCCTCCCAGACTGCTGCTTTTTGGTCCTGGCAAAGGGGCAGAGAGTCCAGAGAAGGAAGGTGGCATGGTAGACCCTCCGGATTGTATGGCCCCTCCAGAAGTTATCCGGTCTTCTCCCCTGCCTCAGAGCCTCATGAACTGCCCTCAAAGGTTTCAGGGGGAAGTAAGTTCACACTCTCCCTCCCTTATCTGTCTCTTCTTGACTTTGCTTTGTCTGTTGGTGGGTCTCCTGGATTCCCTGTCTTTCCACCTCCTCCAGTCCCCATGCAGCCAACTGTGGGGTAGGTGCCAGGTGGGCCACCTGAGGGACAGGCAGTCAGCTGAGATGGAGGAAGGAGCCCGTGATCAAGGAGAGGGAAGAAGAAGGGGGAAGGGACTGTGTGTGTGGGTGTGTGACAGCCACAGGGACAGGGATGGGAATGTCTGTCTGCATTCGGATGAGCTGGTTTCTAAGTGGCCTCTTGAGAGAGCCTGGCGCTCACCCATGACTCACTCCCTCCTTTATCTGCAGGACAGCACTCTCATCCCCAGCCCCAGCCCCAGCCTGTGCCCGCTGTCCCCTGGCTCCAGCAGGGGTGCTGTTGTTAGCTGCGCTCTCTCTCACCAGCCCCCCCCCCCATTCATATTGCAACTCTCCGGAGACTTTAGTAACCCAGGAAAGTGTAAGCAGGCTGCCTACCACCTCGATAGAGGAGGCATTTTACCAAGTTCTTCTGGTGGATAAACATCTCTTGGGCTTTCAGCCCCCCTCAGGAGTCAGGGCTTAGAAGCTACTCAGGCATCTGGGCTCCCAGCCAGGGCACTCCCACTGACAGTCCTGCCATGGACATGCCACCATTCCTGTCACAGATTGTTCCCCTCTTCCCCCTACCCCCATCCCTAGTCCACAGGCCAAGCTCCTCTCCTCGGGTCCCAGGCTGTGCTCACATCACTCCAACCTCTCTTTTCTTCTCCCCTCTGGGCAGCCCCCTCCCCACCTGGCCATACTGCCCTCTTCCCCCTGCCCGCTGCCCCCACTTCTCTTCCTAAGCAGACTGTCCTCTGCACAGACCACACTGCCCTCTTCTCTCTGGTGGCCTGCTTTGTCCCCTCAGGCCCCAGTGCCCATACTGCTCCCCTCCCCTGGCCTGAATTTGTGGCCTGCGCCTCCCCTTTTCTCTGAGGAGGGATGCCCACCTTGGCTTCCAGGCCTCTGAGCCCCAGCTCTGGGTTATTGGAGCCTGGAGATGAGGCCTGGCCGCCTTCGGGTGGCCTCCTCAGGGTCTCATGATTGCCATACACTTCGAGCCCTCCGTTGGCTCCACATGCCAGCCTTGGGAGAAGGGAAGGTGGGGCTTGGCACCCCTCCTGAGCATTCCCGCCAAACCTTCTCTGACCCGTGCGCCAAGGGGCCTGGAGGGCATCTCCAGGTGCCAGGCTCGCCTCCTCACTCTGCCATATCCCAAGACAAGTGGGTGCTTGTCGGATGGCGGAGGGAGCAGAAGGGTGGAGACTCCGGGCTGCTTCTGCCTCCTCTCTCTGAAAGCCAGTCCCTGGGGTCAGTTCATCTGGCCTCTGCCCAGTAGCCCAGAGCCCTGTTGAGTTTAGGAGATCTCTAGGAGGCCAGGTCCTGCAGCCTGTTGTGGGGTCCCACATCCCTGATGGACGTTCTGGGGTTTAATCTAATGCCCTCTGCTATGGTTGGATTACTTCCTCTTTCTCTCAATCTAGTTATATATAATCATAGATTTCCCGCCCCCCCCGCCCCGCCCCCAGAGATGAAAAGGAGCTTAGTTAGTGTTTCTGAACCTTGTGAGGTCACAGATCCCCCTGAGACTCTGATGAAAGCTATTGCTGCTTTTGCTAGGGAAATGTGCATGAGCATGTGCACACACACACACACACTCACACGGCACTGTATACACCCACACGATGTCCTATAACCCTTCAAGTCCACCCATGGTCCTGATCCCTCCAACCTCTGCATGTCGCAGTGGAGCGCACTGAGGTCCAAAGCGGGGGAAATGACTTGCCTGAGGCCATATAAGAAGTGAGTGGCAGAGTCAGGACCACAACCCAGGTGTCCTGACCCCAGACAAGTGGGCGTTTTGTTCCCAGTGGCAACTTTTCTCTTCCCCAAAGGCTGCCTGTAAGACAGATGGGCCTGGCCATGCATTTATTCAATGAGCATTTTTTTTGCTTTTTTGAGTTTTCAGGTATTTATTATCTCAGTTTTTAATAGGAGTTATTTCATTGTAAGTTTCTGTATTTTAAGAATTTTATGTTTACTGAGATATAATTGACACATAACATTGTGAAAGTTTAAGCTGTACAACATATATATTGCAATATTATTACTACCATAGTGTGAGCTGGCACTTAGTTTATGTCACATTATCAGTTCTTTTCTTTTTGTGTTGGGAACAGTTAAGACTAGTCTCTCAGTTAACAAGCTTTTTTGAGCACCTGCCCTAAGCCGGACACTGAGTTAGGAGCTGCGGATAAAGCAGGAAAGCCGACAGCCCCTGTTCTTGCCTCCAGAGGAGGTGACAATCCAGTGGGAGAGACAGAACGAAGTGCAAACAAGTGATTGCACAAATAAAGGCATTATTGGAAACAGAGCTATGGAGGCGAAGTAAAGGGTGTTATGGGAGATGCCAGAGGGATTGGATTTAGATTGTGAGGTAGAGGAAGTGGTCTCTAAGCAAGGAGCTGACGTGGAAGGCCAAGCATTCTAGGTGGTGGGAAAAGCATGCTTGAAGGTCCTGAGATGGAGAAGAGTTGGGGGCTCTTACAGAATTTCACAAAGGCTTTTCCTGGCTCTTCCCGCCCCCCCCCACCCCCATGAGCCCCGACATCCATGTGGTGTGTGTATGGGTTGGGAGGGGTGAGAGGAAAAACAAGTAGGCCTGGAGGAGGTGGTCACAGTCATCTGGGTGAGAGATGATGGTGGTTTGGGTCAGGGAGGTGATGGGCCATGGGAGGGCTCAGTGGGGGACGAGGCCAAGGCTGATTCAGGGGGAGAAGGGATAGAACTTGGAGGTGGGGTGAGAGGGAGTTGGAGGGAGAGGTGAAAGTCTCCCATCATCTTGCAAAGATGGTCGCTGATAAGGCTTCATCAGGCATCCCTCCATGTGGGTTTAGTGAAGTATTTCATAAATACAGAAAAGTGCACGAACTAGACATACTCATGTACCCATGAACCCGTGTACCCAGCACTCAGTCAAGAAATAGAGCATTGCCTGCACCCAGACGCCTTCCTTCCTGTCCCCTTTCAGTCACTAATTCCTCTCGGAGGGTTATTCACTATCGTGACTTCTACCAGCGTAGATTTGCCTGTTATATAGGACTTCTTATAAATGGATCATGTCATATGTGTTATTTTGTGCCTGACTTCTTTTGCTCAACATTATGGTTGTAAATTTCATCCATATTCTCATGTGCGGTTGTAGATTGTTCCCTCTCATTGCTGGATGGTGGTCCACCATGTGAAGATACATAATTTAATTATCAATTTTGCCACTGACAGGAATTGGGGTGCTTTCCAGTTTGGGGCAATTGCAAATAGTGCTGCTATGACCATTCACGTGCATGCCTTTGGCAGTCCTGTATTCTAATTTCTGTTGGGTAGATTCGTCTCTCTATTTTGACGGGTGTCACTGGAAGGCCCAAGCATCTCAAGAATCAGGCATCATTCTATACAGTCATCTTGGTAAGGGGGACGAGAAGCATCCTGGGGAAAGGGAGAAA